CCCTCAATATCGTTCGTTTGAGTGCACTCGTTTCGGCCTCCATGGCCAGCCAAGGCCGGCTGCCAGTCAGCTGATAATCGAGTTGTCTTAACTCTGGGTTATAAAGGGACTCTAATACTAGGCGCTGCATGCATCGGTTCATTTCAATCTGGCTCTTGGATAAAAAAAAGAGAAAAAAAGAAAAAGATGACAAGGAATGAACTTCTTAGAGGAAATGCTCGTTTTCCAGTTTGGTTAAAAAAAAGTTTTATTCTTTTTTTCACGAATGCCTTATTTTCACTCAGGTCAGTGGATCGTGAGTGGTATTCTGCCATGCTGAGGAAAAGCGCCGTACGAACCTGCTTCAGGCGTTGCCAAATTTCTCTTCATACAACACTAAGTTCCTGGCAATCTTGTGAATATTTTTCTTCCAATTTTTAAGATGACCCTGGTAAAAATTGGCGATAAGAGCTGCGTTTCAAAATACCATAGGAATTCTTATAGCCGGCTAAAGAAGGCTACAGAAAATCATATAGCTAGCTATAGAATGCGGAGAAAATCATACGGCCGGACTATAAGGAGCGGGCTATAGTTCCTATGGCCGGGCTTTACACTTTATCGCCTGGCTGTTGCTTTTTCGCCATCGATTATAAAAGGCTGTAAGAAATTGTGTACCAATTCGTGTGCTTTGGGAATCATTAAGTTTGATACGGAACCACCTTAATATTTACAAAACACACGTTATATTTTCCTTTAATACATTTTTTTTTCATCAATTATAACGAGAATAATCCATACAGGATGTGCAAACATTTCAAAATCATGAGTTGAATAACGCTGACTCCGCCAGATTAAATATTAGAGCCTAACACAAAGCGGAGCGGCGACGCACTGGCGCCTACAAACCTAACAGGGATAATTCACGCATTGCGCAACGCGTGAAGTATCCCTGTTAGGTTTGTAGGCGCCAATGCGCGTTACGCGCTGGCTGCCCGCCTGCCAAACCGCAGCGTGCCACGGCGCTTGAAGCAACTATTTCACACCGGAGGTATTGCACAGTATCATACGAAACTGAAGGCGCTCTAATATATTAGGAATGCCAGGCATCCATCGAAAGTACGGAGCTTTCCTCGCAAAATAAATCAAGATACTACGGCACAAAAAGAGAGCGGTAGTCCAAATACTAACTCAGTCCTAGTATCCGTATTTAGTAACGTTTAGCATAAATTCTGATTAACCTAGCGTTATAAGAAATATTTGAATGAAAAAAATACATGAATTACAATCAAACCTCAAAAATTGGACGGTACGAATCATTCATAAAGTTATCCAAATTCGAGAGTTACATCAATCCTGCGGAATTGGTAACCGCTTATCAAACGCTTGATAAGACATGCAACGGAGGCAAACAGCTTCTAAATTAGATTCCGATCATTATTTTGAAACGGCTGGCCAATTTGTGGCATTTGTAAGCTTCATTTCAATCCCACGCTAAGACATACTTCGTCACCTTCATCAGTGATAGAACTAAGTGTCTACAGAGCATTTGATGCAGCTGGAGAACTCAGCATGGACTCGAGCGTAAAAGAGAAAAATGAAATCGATCGAGGAAAGAAAAATCTAACCGCAATATTTTCCGGGGGCGTTTGTGCGTCGTCGCTCGAGCTTCGTTGCGGCCTAACCTACTTCTCGGCAGATAAAACAGCACGCAACAAGTCGTAAACAGGGGGGTCAACCAACGACAGGCGAAAAGCGTCGTAGCCGCCCTCTCTTGCGGTGTAACCGAGCACTAAGCCCATGGAACATACTTTAAAAGTACAGCACAGTACACCATGAACACAGCGCGTATCTTAAAACGCTGTCATAAAGTGAGACTTGCGAAGTCGTGACTAGTATTGACAGAGGTCATCCAGATAGATGTACTACTGAACGGAAATGTCATTCGCTCATCAGTAAAAAGACTTGTGAATGAATGGAAAAGAAAGAAAGAAAGAAAGAAAGAAAGAAAGAAAGAAAAACGATACATCAGCTTGAATCGTGATACACATTACACATATCGATGGTTAAAGTGCGAAACCGAACCATGACTTTTGCAGGCCACCGTTTATTCCTTGACCTCCCTTGCAGGCTGCTTATTAAAACTTAAAAGTACTAGACAAAGCTGTAGACAACGAGACACGGGAACAATGGGGCGAAACATTGATCGAAACTGGCGGTTACCATGGAAAAAAGAGATAAGTAATCAGACGAAACGATAACCCACGAGGGACCCTTTTATTAGTCCATCATCATTAGTTCCCCCTAGACTTAGTTAGACTAGTTCCTTCTTAGTCTAAAACAATAATCCGTTTTAACCAATGGACACGCTTCACTTTCCCTTTGTCTTCTATGCCTATCATTTTCTTCTTCTCAATTTTAATATAATGCCCGCTGACCATGCAGATTTTCCAAACCTTCGACCCTGTTGTCGAACTAAAAAACGCCAGACATTGAGGAAACGCTGAAAAAAGTCGACACCGTTCATTGGATGGACCAAAATGACCATTCTATAGATCGATAAAAATATTTGTGTTTTTGTGTTACTTTTCGCTAAGAAATGGAGTATAACACAAACCAACACAAATTTTGTGTTGCTTTTGGAACAGTTTGCGATGTATTTAGCGCAGAAAACAATAAAGAGACTGGAAAAATGCATTCCTCCGATTGCGACGCTGGTATTCACCACTGTTTTTTTTTTTTTTTTTTTTTTTTTTTTTTTTTTTTTTTTTTTTTTTTTTTTTTTTTTTTTTTTTTTTTTATTTTTTTTTTTTTATTATTAAATTTCTTCAAGAAAACTAGCTGGCATTATCTCTGAAAATTTTCAACCTAAGGCTATAGTTATTTAGTGTTTTGCTTCCCGTTTTAACCAAACTTTTGTGTTGTTTCTCTCTGTGTACGCACTGGAAAAAAAACACATTGGATCCAGAGTTCAGACTCTTGAAAACATTGACAAGAAAAAATACTCTTGATTCAATCGGGTTTTTGCTTGAATCAAAACGAAATCCGCTTAAATTAAGCGGATTGGTTCTTGATTTAAGCTAGATTCTGATTGAATCAAGAGGACTGTTTCTTGTCGATGTTTTCAAGAATCTGGACACTAGATCCAATGTGTTTTTTTTTCCAGTGTGACGTTCGAACACGATCGCTTTTTTTTCTCACAGCAGACAGACGTATCAACATAATTTCTTCAGGTTTCCCGTCACTTCATATTGTTCATTCGAAAAGAAATTCCCAGAATCTCTAAACGGCGTTTCTTGTATTCCCGGAAAAAATTAACGAGGATCGGAAGTTCACCGAGCTCACTCAGCAGTGGTGTCCCGAGTGTTGAAAACATGGAAATGGCCATAAATATGCATGGACAGCGAAAAAAGTTGCAGTGTACGTAGTAGCGAGCGTCGCTTATTTTTCACAGCTCAATGCAGCGATGAGGATAACGCCTCCCACTTGGGTTTCAACGGTGACAACGCAACGCGCCGTGCGTGAGTCAGACTCAGAGTCACTTTTCATTTGGCACTGACATATCGACTGGGTTGCGAGGACTCGTTGTGAAATTTCCTCTTTCCGGCCCAGCGGGTTAATATTAACGATTGAGGGGTTTGGAGGACAAGGCGCATCAGTGCAACCCTGAAAAAAAACACATTGGATCTTGAGTCCAGACTCTTGAAAACATTGACAAAAGAAAAAATACTCTTGATTCAATCAGATTTTTGCTTAAGTCAAAAGGAAATCCGCTCAAATTAAAAGGCTTGGTTCTTGATTTAAGCTAAAATCCGATTGAATCAAGAGTATTTTTTCTTGTCGATGTTTTTAAGAGTCCAGACTCTAGAGCCAATGTGGTTTTATTTCCAGTGAATATTTGCTATTCCGAGAAATACGTATATGAAATTTCGATATTGCATGGACCCTTATGGCGGAAAGAAAGTTCGAACTCACTTTTTGATGCTTAAAAACTGGAGCTTTAAAGCGAATTTTTCACAGAATGTGTGTTGAGACTAATTTAATATGAAATCATGAAAGTCTCAATTTTTTCAAAAACTGAACTTGTGCGCCTTGTTCTCCAAGCCCCTAATGTATAGTCGAAGTTATAGACAAAAAAGTCAGAGTGAAAATGGAGCAATCCTATTTGTTGACACGAATGGTTGCTGTATAGACTTCAAGACATACGCGGATCCAGGCACTTTGAACGGGTGGACGTTAGGCGGAAGGGGGGCTTCCTCTAGAAAATCTTCGAAACGTTGAATCATCTAATATGCAATTCGAGTCAATTTCATCATAAATAATTACCGAATATAAGCTCCTTCCTTTCTCTTTTCTTCCGTTCCTTCCTAACTTTTAGTGTATTTTTCGAAGGAAATACACTATTTTCCTTTCTTTTACTTCCTCGCTGAGAAAAATGTTTGTGTTTTTGTGTGGTTAATGTAGGAGGGAAAAACGAACCAACTCAAATTGTGTGTTGATTTTGGTTAAGTTTCTGGTTAATTTAGCGCAGAAAGCGATGAATTGGAAACTCCAGGGTTGGACCGACCGGAAGCCGGTTAACCGAAAGCTTGCGTTATTTTGTGTTTCACTTCCTGTATTGACCAAATTTTAATGTTAGGTTTGCTCACGTACACTGGAAAAAAAAACACATTGGATCTAGAGTCCAGACTCTTGAAAACATTGACAAGAATAACCACTCTTGATTCAATCGGATTTTTGCTTGAATCAAAAGGAAATCCGCTTAAAATAAGAGGCTTGCAGGTTCTTGATTTAGGCTAGCATTCTGATTGAATCGAAAGTACTTGTTCTTGTCGATGTTTTTTAGAGTCTGGACTCTAGATCCAATGTGTTTTTTCTTCCAGTGTACGCAACACCGTAAGTCCAAACGATCATATATGTACCTTAGATTTTCCAAGCAGTATGAACTCTCACCACACAACCATTTATTTTCAGAGGGGTGTTTCGGTAGGATGGGCGAAAAACTTGAATGACTGGAGACTAACCTGAGGAAACCGGGGTGGAATCAGGCTTGACTTTGGGCGCGGGCGGTGCGGAGAGTGCGGTGGGGGCGTGCGGGTGGGGGAGCGGGAGCATCGACGAGGCCTCTTTCTTCGAGTCACAGCCATGGTTGGCGTCGTCGGGCCGCTTCCCGGTTGCGGGAGGGGCGCCCGGGTCACCGCAACCATCGCTCAGGATCGGCTGCACCGTTGCAGTTGCAGTTGCAGTCGCCGTCGCAGCGCCCTCCGTCGGTCCCGCCTTGGGATTCGTTTTCTCGTAGACGGAGCAGTCTGAAACACACGACAAAAAGAAACGCTTAGATAGAGAATGAAAAGTAATTGCTGCGATGCACCTCCGTCAAAACGTCGTTCCTCTGACGTAAGGGAGTGCCTCGATTTCAACGTGAGCCTTCTTGTGTATAAAACTCCATGCTTCTTGGGGCTCATGTGGAAATAGAGATACTGCAGATACACTCTAATGTCAGAGGAACGGCGAAAAGTGAATCAGTGAGAACGAAAACATACCAACACCGAAAAATAAAAATAATCAAGATATACACAAAACTGCACAGTAGGCGAAGGAGTTAGTTTAAGAAGAAGATTTTTGCTGCCGAAAGACAAGTACATATAAACACTCTATAAAGGTCCAAATTGGAACAAATGCGCTAACTGCAATGACATTTACGTAAATTAACTGTCATGAATGGATATTGAGCATTTTGGAGTAACCGCTGAGTTGGTGTGTTTTCGTTCCAACCGATTCAAGTGACCTTACCGGTAGCGCACAAGGGACCGAGTCAATCAGAGAGGTCGGACGTGAAATTTTTGATTAAAACTGCAAATTGTGATGTTTATATCGTCATATTTTCATTGGCGAATCCAGCAAATTGGCAACATTGTTTTTCTCCATTTAAACCGACGGAAATGTATCGATTCTTGGAGGGGCCACGTGCTCCGACAAGAATATTAAATATAGGTGTTAAGAAAAATCGGATTCAGAAAAAAAAAAAAAAATACGTACGAGAAAAGGTGACGAAATCTCTCATTTTCTGAGAGTATATCTCTAATTTTGTCGTCTTTCTGTGATGCAATAGACAGCACCTTTAATTAGTCGAGTTAAGACTAATATTGTAAGAGAGAAACCGAACACGGAATTTGGCCTGGAACGGCGCGGCACAGACACATGCCGATGATGACGAGAGCTTGAGATGAAAAGGAGAAACCCTCGGCGCGGCGCAGTGGTCGGCATGTAACACATATTAGCGCCTACAAGACTGCATGGATACTTCACGCATTGCGTCAAAAACAGTGCGGTCGCTGCGATTAGCAGCCGGCGGCGTGAGACGCATAGCGCCTACAAGACTGCATGAATACTTCACGCATTGCATCCAAACACAGTGCGTGTAGCAGTAGTCGGCATGAAACGCATATCGCATACAAGACTGTAGGAATACTTCACGCATTGCGCCAAACACAATGCGGTCAGTGCGGCGCGGCGGCGGAAGTTAAAATTTTTAAACCACATTTATGTTTGTTCTTTCATAAATTTCTCGTGCATTTCATGTAAATGGAAGGCCTTGTCCACACAGAGATAGGTTTACGGGACTTAACTTTTGCGCCAAGTTCCGTGAACTTTTGCTGGTAGTATTGACAGGCCTTTCGCAAAAAAATGTGTCCAACACGAGTTAACGCGTCTTATGCACCCCTCCCCCTCCGGCACTTTCACTTGATGGTTTTTATTGATGTTTCAAAATGAATGAGAAAGGGGACGGCAAAATACAGGCGGCCCATGGGCGGCAAGTAAGTAAATTCGGCCCTGCAGCAGAGAGGCAAACTTTCACGATATTTCAGAAAACGAAATTAGTTGAAACTTTTTTCCAACTGACACAGAAGGCCACGACGACAAGCCAAGAAATAATAGACCTTGAGTTCTTATATTTTGGCAAAAAATATGCGTCTAATTTCAGACTTCCTGGACGAATTCTGATTTTTTTATTACACGTGCTTATACTCAAACCCTCAAACTCTGAAAACTCGACGTTTCACAAAACCCTCACACAAAAAATAAGTTTCGTGAAATTGAATTTCATCAAATTTTATTTTGTATTTTTAGTCCCGACAAAGAACTAACCACATGTTAGATTAAAATCACTTAGTTAAATCGAATTTCAGTACACGATGGGACCAACTCGCGCCTGGTGGCTCAAAGCAAGTCGAGCACAAACTCAACCGGTCCGTCTCGATGCACCAAACCATTCGGGAACCAACCAACTGGGGTTCAGCCGCTTAATTTTCAGTTGAGATTGACATGCATGCATATGCATACTTGTGCGAGCAGTCCTTGCTCTCAGGTGAACTCTGCCGTACTACGGAAAAACACCGTATGAGCATTCGAATGTTGCAAAATTTCCTCTAAAAAAATAGCTATTTTGGAAGAAAGTTACGAATATGTTCCCTTTCAATTTTCCGAATTTTCAGATCAAATTTCGAACCAAATCCTCCAAAAAATCGGAGGAGAAACACTCACAAATTTTCCTGAAAATGTGTCGTTTTTCGAGGGAAATCCAGCAACGCCTGATGGCTCATACGGCGTTCTTCCTCAGCACGGCAAAACTGCAAATGTGCGCATCCACACAAACACACCCTCAACACGAGCGTCCTTTCTCGAGGGTGATGGTACGGGGTATGCAAATTGGCGCTCGCCCGAACTGCGGATAACGCCCAGAGGATATGTCGGCGCGTCGTCGTCGGTTAAGACATGCAGTAAATTAATTATAACGGCAAAGCGTGCAACTATTGATTATCACTCCGTAATAATTGCCGTTTTGCGCCTCGCGAAATCGTAGGGAGAGGGGGGCGCGGGTACCCCGCCCCCCTCTCATATTCACACCTCTAACAGGGTCCGGGCTATCTTCAAAAATAAGACTTAGTAAGAGTTCACGTACTCGCGAATTGCCAAGTTCGGCGAATGGCTCGGTAGACACGGAAAAAGAAAAAAAATGGAGTTGTTGGATGATGTCATACAGACATTTCCAATTAATTGTGGTAGTACTCCGATAAATTAGATTGCTGACCCAAATGTTGCGGTAATAATTGAGGGGCTTGGAGGACAAGGCGCATAATTGCAGTTTTTGCTGATTTTGCTGACGCCACAAGAACTTCGGCCCACATGAAAAACCGAAGGTTATCAGTCGAGATCACAGAAATTCTCGGTTGTAGAAACTTAGGTTCGAATAACTGAAATCTGGATTTTAAAAGAACACTTTTCACATGATATGGTTCTCAGAAACTTCGTCTACCTGAGCCAAAGTTCGGTTTCATACCTTCATGACCAAAAACTTCAGTTACCTCGACCAGATCGAAACTTCAACGTTCCATCCCAACAAAGGTTTTTCCCTCCTAAATGTAATGTGATGAAGAAATTACAGCGTTTTTTTTACCATTTTTCTAGCAATTTCACTTTTAATAATTTAGCGACCGTAACTGCAAAGACATACCGTTTTGTGCCGCATAATGAAGTCCGTAAAAGTGGCCCAACAGCGTCCACGAATAATTTTCGTGCTGTTAGAGCCCTGGGTCCCGTAAAGTTACTCTAAAACCCTTTCCGTCTTGCAACATTAACATGTCTGTCCGCCTCATAACGTGGTCATAAACATCCACTCCCCGCTTCTCCCCGCATAATCGTGGCGCCCTTTCTGTAATTGTAGGCCAAATAAAAACTTAGCATCGTTGAAATTAAACGCCTTTCTCTCGGAATTAGCATAAAGAGCCCGTGGGCGGATCCAGTTATTTTCGTCAGGGGAGGGGAGAAACTGCTCCCGGTCGAAACAAAGGCCGTTTTCACAGTCTGTTTTCCGTCTTTACCGCCTATTTTCCTTCCTTTCGAACGCACCGCGAGGTGAGGGGGGGGCGGGGGCACCACTCCCCCGCTCGCCTAAGATGTGAATGAATGGAGCGGCTCCTTTCTCCAAATTAATCCTTCTCAATATTTCGGGGTGTAGGTTTAACATCCTTCATAGCCTGTGATTTATTTTATGAATTAAATCATTTTGTTGAGTAAAGATCACTCTCCTAAGTTGCAAAATCTGTAAATTTCCGGAATTGATTCTTTGAAAAACAAAAAAAAAAAATTAGAAAAGCTGAAAAGTTGCCGCGTCAAAATCTATTATGAGCACCAAAATGAGGCTTGACGCCGTTATCATAAATTTATCTTAAATTCCAATTTCATCATTTCATAAAAGGTAATAGTAACTTTAAAATTCCGCGACCAACTACCTTGGCTGATAACAGCACAAATAAACAAATAAACCACTTAAATATATTTTATAATTAGCCACGCTTTTTTTCTCAATCAAACTAATGGTTTTACTTACAAAAACAATAGCAAAATTACAACTCCTCTTGAAGATAAAATAAACGATAGATAAGCTTAGAAGCAAACATTTACGTATTTATGAGGCGTATAATAACGTATTTCACGGAGACCACTTGTTTCATGAGCGGAACTTAAATGTCCACGTGTGGCATACATTGTTATTATTATTATTATTATCGTTTTGGATTTGAAATTCACAGCACGAGGCTGGTATTTCAGTTTTTCCAGGGTGTCTCCAAAAACAGGCTGGCCAAAAATCAGTACTTTTACAATACTTTTTCAGTACATTCCCAAGAAATTCACTACCTCCTCAACAGAAAAATTTAGGACTTTTTCAGTACCGCCATTTGACGAAATTCGAAAAATTTCAAAAACTTGAATTTCTCAGTCGAATTGCGACAAAACTAACAAACATTCCGGACCTTCCTGCAGATTTTCCGCAATTTTTCAGTACTTCCGGACCGCCGTTAAAAAATCATTACAATTTCCGGACTTTCCGGAAATTTCGGACTTGTGGACACCCTGTTCAAATGCATGCAAAACAATCGATTCTTGACGAAGCAGCTTGCCTCTCCTACTATCGATATTTTAAATGGATTTAAATGGGGAAAACAGCAGTGTTGCCAATTTGCAAAATCGCCACTGGGTTCAAAGCAACGGGGCGCGGCGATGTGGGGCCCCAGAATGACGCAAGTTAGTACTGAGTAACAACTTCTCGACGGCGCCACAGTGGATCGAGTCGATGGGAGAGGTCGTACATGAAATTATTGACTAAAACTGCAAATTTTTATGTTTATTTTGTCACATTTGCAATTTCAAGGGGTGACTTCAGATGGAAATTTCATGAGGAAACCGATGGAACCACTTTTAGAACTTCAAAATTTTGCATAAACGGAGTTATAAGCGTTTAAAGTTT